AACATTCTTCAGCAGAATTATCTCTGGGAATATGATTTCTTCAAGAGGACCCTCGGTTTTGCTCCCTCCGAGTGCTTCTAGTCATCTCTCCTTTTTCTTCCTTCCTTCTTTTCCCTTTTTCTTTTTCTTTTTCTTTTTAATATATAATATATAATGTATGTTATGTTTCTCACCCTCAACTCTCACTTACTATAATATACCCAAATGAAATGAAATGCCCATTATTTTATTCCTATCATCTTCCCCTCATTTTAATCGTGTACGATCTAATAGATTGTCGTAGCGAATAGTTGGATCATAGTCTGTTATCATAAAAATCTCTTACCATAAAAATGGCTGTATACCCACTAGCACCAGCCATGAGAAATACACCCATCCACATTTTTATCCTTTATAATTGGGCCATCGTCAGAAACAGCCAATTCTGAATCGTTATCATAACTGGCAAAAAATATATATATATATTTATAAATTGTGCTCTATAAATATAATTCTATTATATTTTAAAATGTATTCTTCTTTTCAATTGATCATGATGTTCATTTAGTGCAAAATTTACATTAATAAATAATCAAACAAATAAAGTAACTTGTTTAAATTTTCCAACGATTATTCTTTAAAGTTTCCGGCGGATATTACTTCTTGATGGTTTAGGTCTATGGTTTGAGTTTTATTTCTTGATTAGAAAGAGAAATTTTTAGGAATTAAGATTTAGGGTTTAAAGTTTTATTTATTTTTTTTAAAATACATGGTAGCTTGTTAATTTTCACCTGGCCCATCATAAATAGGTGCCTAAAAATATCTAGCTGTCTTGTTATTAAGAAAAAAAAGGTGTGCAACATTAAAACTTGAACAAATTTTCTTATTAATTGAAGTAAGTATATGCACATATTTGTTGAACTTATTAATTGAAGTAATAAAATTGTATATTGATTTTTAAACTCAGCCTCATATACTATGGTACTAACATTTATAAATATAAAACTTTATATGGGTTATTCAAACCTAAACTTCTAAAACTAAAATCCTTGAACCTCTGGAGATTGTCCCACCGGACGTGCCAATTTGTTCATACAAGATTCCCGAAGAAATTATAATTAGTGGACTAAATACAATTTGTATTGATATTTGGGGGTTCGTACAATCATTGAATTATTGCCTCGGGCTTGATGATGATCTTGATCGGCCTCGGACTTGATGTTGATGTTGATCAAGCCCATGTTGATGTTGATCGGCCTCGGGCTTGATGTTAGTCTTAATCGGCCTCTGGACTTGTTGATCTTAATCAGCCTCTTGTTAAGCCTTCTGGACTTGTTTTGTTGATCTTGAGTTTGTTGATCTTGATCGATCTTCTTTGCTTCTCCTTGATCTCCAGATTTTGATCATTTTCCAGATGAATTAGATGGTGAACGAACCCTCTATTTATAGGGTCTTTCATGAGTCTTCGGTGCTTGGATCCATCTAAGTCCATTGCCACGTGTCACGATCCAATTGGGTCAGTTTACGTCATCAAATATGGATTTTTTTTAATAATGCTTCATTCGAAACTTATTCCAAATATATATCTAACTCCATTTCCAAAAATAATGCTTTGAAAATTGTAGGCTATCTCTTGACGACCTATGCCACCTCACGGTTCCCTAGTTGCATGGCGCCTCATTGACGCCATGTGTTTTTTTTTTAATTCTGGTATGTCGTCTCTTCAAGAAACGACATATGCAAAATAATAACAGATTTAATACTTTGATACGGTGGTTGTTACTTTATCTTTTAATTAATTGAGACTTGAACCTACGAAGAGACGACATGACATAAATAAATAAAAAATACATGGTGCCAGCGAGGTGTCATGCAATTAGGGAAGCGTGAGGTGGCATAGGTCGTTTCTGCGACCTACAATTTCCAAAGCATTACTTTTGGAAATAGTTTGGGAGTTAATATATATTTGGAATAAGTTTCAGATGAAGCATTATTAAAAAAAAATCTCATCAAATAGATATGATACAATCTTATTAGATCAACTTATGTCATCATAGGGTCATAACATAATTTGATGGGTCGAATTCAAATATCCAAAAATAATATGTGACATTATTTAATTGGTCTCAATTTAATAACATATAATTATGTGGTAATTCGTGGTTAGTCGAAATTTATCTAGCAAACTCCCACCCAATCAAGATATTTTACTGGCGTTATAATTTTTTTTTTCTTTTTGCTATTTAAAAGACATTTGAGTAGCATCTAATTTAGGAGTTTATTTTTAGAGAGTGTTATTTTTTTCCAATCATATGAATTTAATTTGATATAAAAAAAATCACATTTTGAAGAAATGATCTCACATGAAGTTGTGTCAAAATTTATCTTTTTTCTTTTTCAACACTAAAATTTTTATTTTAGCAAACAAAGAAAAAAAGAAAAAAAAAGAAAAAGAAATGGTCTCTTTTAAAAATAATTATTTGCAACTTTATCGTGATATCACAAAAATTATCCTAAAATCAATAATTTCAAAAATAAAAAATAATATTAATAAAATAAAAAATTTTGAGAAAATAAAACATTCTTTGAAAAATAAATAAATAAAGAAAAAGCATTGAATGCAAAGCTTGAACCCTCAGCTGATCAAGATTCTATTGATTTGATTGGAGTGGACCATGACTTTTTATGTCCCTTTAAATACTTGGCAATTTAATCATTATTAGTTAAATTAAATTATTCAATAAAGTATTCTGTATATATTTTTCTTAATTTTGGGTTTATTTCTCAATAGTTTAACAGCTCATAACAGAAAAAAAAAAAAAAAAAAGATGCACATGCTAAGATTCCTATCTTCATTTGCTTGAAAAAAAGGTTTTGCCTTTTTAGCAATCTGAACAGCTCACAACCCACATGATCACCATACCCATCAAATCAACACACTCCATTCATTACCCTCAAAAAAACGAAAAAACCACCCAATTTTTAGACCAATTCCAAACCATAAACTCACCTAAATAAACAGAAATACTCATTTATAATTTTTTTTATAGGGAAAAAATACAATTAGGAAGTCAAAGTAGGTTTTTTTTTCCTAAATTCAAATGACACCCATTAAAAACAAAATAAAAGTTTGAAATATTGAGTGTTGAGTGAGTTTTTTTTAGTATAATGAGTATTTCATGATTTCTTGCTCAGAGATATTTATCAAACACAGTGGAGAATTGCATTGCATTGCAAGCAAAGTTAAGCCAGCCCCAAGAGAAAGAAATCCAAAATAGAAATTAGAAATAATATAATATTGATTAATAATGTTGAAATTTTGATGGATCACATGGGAATTTACAAAAGCAAACTGACACACTCACATGCCATTGCCTCCCAATTGCACAAGCACATGCTGTCTGTCTTCTACACTAGCCCTACCACCACAATCCCCTCCCAATTATTTTCTTTTCTTTTCTTTTCTAGTCATCCAAACACTCTTACTAAAATGAAAAATCCCCACCAAAAAAAACCCAAAAAGTCTTAAACTTTCACACAATTTCACAACCCCACAATCTGTTCTCACTTTTTTTTTTTTGGTTTCTCTTACAAGCCTATTAATATAGACATTAATATACACAAACCCCACAAATCTGAAAAAGGGAAGAAAAAAAAACAGCTATCTAGTTAATTAGCAAACAAATCATTGATTGACTCCTCGTAAAGGTTACCATTTTTCTTTTCTCTTTTGTCTGTTAATTAAATTGTCGAGAAAATTCTAGAGAGTTTCGGAAGTCTCCTCCACTTCCACGGCCGGCGGAGCGCGGCGGCCGGCGGCGAGTAGCGTGCAGCGGAGGTGCCTGTGGCAGCTGGTCAAATGGTCGTTGGTCAGGCCGGCGGCTTGCATGAACGAGTGGACCACCGTCGGTCCGACCGACCGGAAACCTCGTCGGACCATGTCTTTGCTTATGGTCTCCGATTTGGATGTCTTCACCGGAATTTTGTGGCCGGACTTGTACTGCGGCGAGAAGGGCTTGTGGTTCACAAATCCCCAAATGTATTTATCGAATGACCCAAATTCCTTCTTAATCTGTTCCCATTAGATTAAACAACACAACCAAAAAAACGTCAGCATGCAAATTCCATTTCATAAAAGTTTGGAAAAAGCGTCGTTGTATGAATATTTAAATTAATTAAAAATGGGGTTTGGAAATTCCTTTTTACCTCGAGGATTCGGATTGCGTTGTCGACAACTCCTCGGACTCGGTTAATGTCGATGCCATATTCCGTGCTGATGGAAACCATCTGTTTGTCGGAAAAATTAGCCACAGTTTCTGCATCGAAGCTTGAAAATGCGTTTCTGGGGCAGAACACAAAATTGATTAAATTAGTGAAATCAAGAAGAATGAAATGATTAATTGGTTGGAATTGGGAAATTTTCTTTGGGAATTGTTGTTTTCTCGCTTTTGGGTACCTGAAATCTTGGCGTTTCTTCAATATTGAAGTCCAATCTGAACCCACCTGGGCTACGCTCAGAACCAGCAATTCAAACAGCACCCTGTTTTCAATTCTAAGATTCAGTACCCAAAAAACAGAGAAGAGAGAGAGAGAGAGAGAGAGAGAGAGAGAGAGAGAGAGAGAGAGAGAGAGAGACTCACTTGTCCTCATGAACAGGGACACCCCATTCTTCATCATGGTAAGCAACATAGATGGGATCTAGAGAGAGAGAGAGAGAAAAAAAATTAAGCTATGGATCTCATAAGCATTTGAACTTGAAAAACAGAGATAACAGAGGATCGTTGGAAGAGAGAGAAAAAAATTTAGTCCAATTAATTTGTGGGTTACCTGAATTAGGTGTGATGAAGCTGCATCTTCGATCTTCGACAGCGGGTTTAGTTTTAGAATCAATAGGAACAATTTTTTCAAACCGTGCAGATTTAGATCTTCCATAATGGGCAATCTTCATCTTCCTCTGCGCCTGCTGCAGCGCCACCTGCTCCCTCCTCACGGCGGCGATACTCCCCGGCGACTCAGTGATCAGAGACGAAGCGTAGCTCAAAGACGGCGCCGCCTCATCGGCCCCACTCCCGCCCAATTTGAAGCTCTTGGATTTCTTCCTATCGAGAGCCCTGGGTCGAGCGGCGGCGGGAAGAACGAGCTTGTCGGAGCTGGAGTTCATGGCAGTAGCGGCGTCATTGGCCCGCTTGGTGGCCGGGGGGCGGGGGGACTTGGACTTGGGAGAGGCGGGGGACGGCGGAGAGAGAGGCGGAGAGGGAGATGGGGGTTGTTTTTTGAGGGAATTACGGCGGTGGAGACGGTTGCAGGTGGGTTGGAGGACGGCTCTTCCAACTGCAACAACAGAAGTGGCCTCCATGACCTGCTCCGAACGGCACATTTTTGTAGAGAGAGAGAGAGAAGAAATGAGAAATTGGGGGAGTGGTGAAGAGAGAGGAAGGGGAGAGGTGAGGGTTTTATCAAAGGGGAGTGGGGACAGAGGAAGAGCTCTGGTTCTGGCTATGGCTATAGCTATGGCAGCCTCAAGTGAGGGGCATTGCTTTTTGGGAACTACTCCACGAGGATGATCATGACACCCTCTCCCTCTACTTAATTATTCTTCTTCCCTTTTTCTTTTCTTCCTCTTAATCTTCTTAACTTTTCACCATCTCTAGTTTTTCTCCTTTTAGCCTCTACTCTTTCGTCTTAGTTCTCGCTGGGTTGACAATCTATGTATGAATTAAATTTATATAATTCATTAACTTAAGATTTCAAGTTTACGGATGGTTTGTTCGTAACATGGTATCAGAGTGAGAGTCGAGGTCGTTCAAACTGCTACATTGTTATTTTCTTTCCATTTATAATGAATTCCACCGTATCGATGATAATCCATATATATAAATTTAATTTAATCAATCGATGAGATTAAGTTTTTGGATTGAATTGTAGTTTGTTCATAACATGGTATCAGAGCGGGAGTCAATGTCTTGTATTCAAACCTCAACATTGTTGTTTACTCCCAATTTATAATAATTTCCACTTGTTGAAGGGAGTATTGAGAAGCCATATATATAAATTAAATTTATCCAATCCATCATCTTAAGATCCTTAACAATGCAAGGGGTCCGGTAATTTTTTGTATTATTTTTTTTATTATAAAAGATGACTAATTCACCCTAGGTTAGAATTTAACCACTCAATTGGTAAAAGAAAAGGAAAATAGAATTAAGTTTTGATCTAAATTGAACAATTTTCCTTTTTGACATTATATGGGAATTGAAGATGGGGGGATTGAATGGATGGGAGACCCCACTTTTGTTAGGGAAAATGGGAGATCATCACTTGGGGGGAGCTAGGGAGTGTTTTGGATTTACAACTTTTTGGCAATTATTTGGATATATATAAATATTCCAACCCTAAAAGGGGTATGAAATGGCATTGGCATTGGCATTGAGTGGTGGATAAGGAAGGTTACTATGGATGAAAATGACCAATCATTAAGCTTCACTTTTTAGCTGTATGGGGATTCCAATCCCCAATTCCCCCCTCACTTTTTCTGATTTCTATGCCAAACCACTTGCCCCACGTTGTCTCCCCCTTCTTCTTTTCAAAATATAACTTAACTGATTAATTCACTGATTCAATTAATTACGGTATATATGTCCGATCAAAATGTTAGAAGTTCGAATCTCTACCTTATATGCTATTGAGTTCAGGTCTATCAACGTCTCGGATCACTTTCTAAGAATAGTACTTTTAAAAGAAGCATTAATTAAGTACTTCAAATAGTAACCAATATTTTTAGAACTTTTCAAAATGACGGGTTTTGACATTGTATACTAATTCATGAAAATTCTAAAATACCTCTTTAGTGGTTTGATAATACTTCTCATCATTTTTAACCTCACAACATAGTTAATTTAAAATTTTCACCATAGTTTAAATCTTCTTATCCTCCTTACGCTCTTGTACCTTTTCTTTTTGTTTTTTATTGCCCCTCTATACATCCAAGTGCATAACCGTTAAAACTTTCCAATATTAACCATCTTTTTACTATAGATATTTCACCCTTTTAACTTTTTTTTTCTTTTTTCATTTATACCATCTCACGAAAGGTATTATAGTTATACTTGTCATATCCTATGACTTATGTATAGTCCTATGTACTTTACCTCTTATATTTAAACTTATCGATCAATTTTTAATGGTGAAATAGTATTGAATTGTTCGAGTAGTTAGGCATTTGGATCTCTTCCATGGTTGAGTCATTGAGAAATTTTTCAATGTAATAAAAGTTGGGTATGTTTCAAAAAATTTTATAGTAAAAGTAAAAAAACAAGAGGAAACAAATAAGAAACATAGGAAATTATTGATTGGTGAGTGGGCCCTCTGCCCAGCCCAATTCTGCCCTACTTGAGAGGATTACAAGGTGACAGATTTTGTTACTGTTAAGGAAAGAAACCTTGCTTGCAAGTGACAACCCCCCCCCACACACACACACAATTTCTTTTTCTTCTTTTTTTTCCCCTTTTTGAAAAAATAACAAATTATAAAAATGGTAAATAATAAAGTACTCAATAAACAATTCACAAAATTATTATTAGTTTAATTAATTTCAACTCTCACGGGAGAGGGAACATAAGATAAATGGGGTATGGGCATTGGATAGTTATTGAAAACCAAGTTCAATAATTATTGAAATGTATTATTATTATTATTATTATTATTATTATTTTGGTGTCAAACGGTTTAGTGTCAAAATTATTATCAGGGGGGCATTTATTTGATTTAAAAAAAAAAAGAATACTAATGTACAAAACACATTCATTTGTGAATTAAGGTTTCTACGTGGGGATTGAATTTAAGGCGAGTGCTTTTAACTAACTAAACTATAGAGTCCGTTATAAAAAATTATTGAAAAGTTTAGAATTAAATGACGTATATTTGAATTAAAAAAAAGTTTGATTTGTATTACCGTTGAGCTATACTCGCTTGGGTAACAAACTAAGTATCTAACAGAAGTAAATACAATTAAAAAATAAGTTTAGTATTTTGATCCCAAATCTCACAAATATAACATAAGCGAGCCAAACGTTTTTTTTAGTATCGATGTGTTTTAGTCTCTTTAAATTTAATAAATATTTATTTTGGATATAGTAAATTTGTAGTCATTTTTGTGAGGTCACATACTCTATCTATAAAACTTGACATTACTGTATTAAAATACTAATATAAGTGATGCAATAATTTTTTTTCTGTCTAAGGCTAAAACTATGACAAAAATCAAAATAATCTTTTTTTATGCACATTAAGAACATGGATAAATATTCTAATCCACTTGTCTGAACATTACGACGACAAATTAGTCTTCTATGGAAGGTAAAATATCACTCGAAGTCTCTTGAACCTTGTAAGTAACGATAAGTATTCGCGTCAAGCTCAGCACTCGTCGTAGACACATATAAATGACACTACAATATTTAACATAAAAAGTTGTTTGAATTAGACTTCTAGATACAACTACAGATAAACTAAATAAATAATAAAATTTAGTAATTTAAAAATGTATTAATTTGAGCTTAGCTCGATAGATAAGACACCTATTACTATCTTTAAAATTGATGTTTCCGTTTCCTATTTATATTAGTTTAACCCAAGTAAAGTAATAATAATTTAAGGGACAGAAATCCAAATGAATTATTTGGAAAAGAATACAAAAGTAAAATTACACACACGTGTAGAGAAACACACGTTATTCCCCATTATTGATAAATTTTAGGGGAAAAATAGCGTATATAATTCCAAGTTGATAATAATTTGTGAGGGAACAGTAAAACGCGTCGTATCATTGGTATTAATTGGCGTCACATGAAATTCCACGTGGAAGCAGATGAGAGGAAGTTGCAGTAACATTACATGATACTTTGCCAATAATATTCCCCTATATATTTGGAATAATTATCTTTTCACTTTAAAAATACTTTTTCTTTTTCTAAATTAAAAAAATGTAAATGTGTCAGCTTTTTATTGTATACCCTGAGACAGTCCATGTGACCTCTTTGATGATTCTAATAATTAATTAATAATTTTAATTAGATTTTTAAATGAAATTTATTTATGGATAAAAATTAAACCGTGTAGCTATGTTGCTCCCTGGCAACCTAAAGCTATATCGAATTATTTCATTTCACGTTTATTAATTATTGAAATCATATAATTACGTATTATGCAACTTTTATTAATTTTTTTAATTCACCGATATTTTGCGTCAGTTCCTATGCATTTCAACAAATCATTATTTTAAAGTAGTATATGAAATTACAAATGCGACAGCGTAGATTAAACTATAATAAAATATTCGTGTATTTTTTTAAAAAAATTAGTGTATTTTTAACAAGTAAATGAAGAAGGAAGGGAAATTATATTGTTGGTAAATAATGTTTTTACCGGTTGAACTTCGGACTTTAAGAAGTAACTAATGTCTTTAATAACTTAAACTATACTTATGTCATTGGAGATAATCCATGCATTCAAATATTCGTGGCATATTTGAGACCGTCTGGAAAAATAATATTTTTAAATGGACTATTATTTCCATTAATATTTTAAGCAATATTTACTAAATATTTTTAAAATTTTCAAAATCATATATCTAACCAGTGCTGTCAAAGTCATTTTGAATTCTTAATAAAACACTTTTTAACGTCCGGAAAATTTGCGGTTCCTAATAGAACAGGTAACCAAGCAACTTTGCCGTCCACTACCACTAAATCACCACTAAAGAAAGGTCGTCTTTTCAATGTACAAAATTACATGTATATTTACAATTCCTTTCTAATTACACAGACTCATAAATCTATAGGCTTAATTGCTTAACCGGGATATATATATTAACACTTGTTATATTAACACTTATTATTATGAGGGGTAGGTTTAAATTCTCTAAAACAATCAAGTTTAGTTATAAATAAAAAAAGCAAAAAACAAAAAACAAAAAAGAGAATCATTTCAAAACAAATTGAATTAGAAGTATTTGGAAATGTGAGTTAAAAGGGAGAAAAATAATGTAAGAAATGATTGGAAAAGGCTAAAATGGAGGTGGTACGGATACATATAATGTTAGATTGGTGGCAGAACAGAACAGAAGAAGAAAACAGAGGAAATTAAAGAGATTTTACATAAAAATATCTAATTCTTCACTTACATACAAAAAAAAGAGAACAAAAAGAAATTGGAAGATGACTGGAGAGGAATCTTTTCAGCAAACATTTTATACATTCATTATAGCATCATCGATGTCGTGTAACTTATACTAGTAGATTTCTATAATTAGAACTCGTTGTTTAAACTAAAAAACACTATGACGAATACATGACTCGAACTTGAGATTTTAAAGTAGATGGTACCCCGGACTCCAAACGCTCGCCACTGGAGTATCTCTAGGGGACTATACTCTATATTTTCATCCCTTGAGAAAACACTTTATAACTTTCCTTTCCTCTTCTTTTTTTTTTCCTTTTTTAATATTTTTATACTTTTAATGCAGCACTCTCTCGCCCCTGTACAATCATATCATGCTTCAAACTTTAAATTAATTTCTTTTATTGGAACTCTTTTAAAATATTTTGTAGCAATGTAGAGGGAAGTAGTGTTGTTTGTTATACACCTATGCCCATGCATCGTTTTATCCAACAATCTACAAGAAAAAGGATTTTTCCCGACAAGTTTCCCAACAAAAAATTTTCGTCGGGAGATCATTCCCGACGTTTTTTGGACTTTTCCCAACAGTTTTTAATGAGGGAAATTTTTTTTTTTCTTTTTCTTTTTTGTAGTGAATATATCTTTGTGACCTAATATTTTTTAGATATAGTTGAGCTCACCACTTTTTGTTGACGTCTTAATATTTCATCCATACGATTTAATGTATCTAAGACTTACCATACTTCATCGATTAACTTCTAATGGTTGTGTCTTGTCTCGGGCATGATTTTGATATCACTTTTTCGGATAAAACAGGATTTATCTCCATATAGCAGTTTTAATTATTATTATCAATCTTTAAGATTGCCTAAAGGATTTTGCTTTTAGATTTTTTTTTATCTAGAAACCAGTCTCATATTTATTAAAAAAAAGAATCACTATATCACATTCAACTTTTAATCAGTACTATCAAGTTACTTAGAGGGCGAGAACAACGCTAACACAAATATAGTAACACATCATTGAAAGAAAAGAGAGAAGTGAGGAAATGAGAAGAATGGGTAAACAATAAAGGTAAATAGATGAAACTATCATTTCACATATTAATAATATAGTTAAATAATAGTAAAAAACTTGACTAAAGATGAATATTTATTCAACTAAAAGGTCTAAAATGTAGAAGATCAAATAAAATTAACTTCAATGAACAAAAAGTATATATTTTACTTTCTTTGTCATGAAAATTCATAAATAATATATTGGAAAAAAAGGTGTGAAATAATATATGGTGGATAGTACATAATTAGAGGGAATTGTAAGAATAATAAAAAGAATATGTATTTATACTTATAGCATTAACTTTACAAAAATGGCATAGATTGCAAACTAATCCAAAGTCGCTTTTGTAAAATTTTTTGAAAAAATAAAAAGTAATGACATTTTAATAAATGCATATTTATTTTATTATAGAATTTTAAAAGAATATATATAATTGCATAAAATAACATATATTATTCAATTACATATGGAAACAAAGGAATGTAGTAGAATTTTAAAGACTGTATATGCTTTATGTATATTTAATATGTATAACCTAATTATTTTCCTCAAGGAAATTTAAAAACAGAAAAATCAAGTGCATAAAGTCAAGAAGTTTTATATTACTACTATTTTTTATTCCTTTCTTAATGTTATATTATTTCAAGATAATATACATTTGGCTAGAACCAGGAGGAGAAGCCATTTAATCTCTTTTTTCATTTTCTTTGTTCTATTTTATTTTTATTATTTTTAAAAATATTAAAGTTAAAATACTATTTTGGTCCATCTACGTTCAAGTTCATTCTAGTTTCCGCACTTTCAAAATGTTTATTTTGGTTATTGTGTTTTCAACTTCAGTTTATTTTAGTTACTGTAGCTTCACAATGTTCGTTTTAATCCATATATACTTTTAAAAAGCGACTATTTCATAGTCTCTTAATTTTATTTTGCATCTTTTTTTTTTCTATCGCATTTTCAACACAACAATATACTCAAGTGGAATGTAACCAAGATTTTATGTTAAAAAGTTTCTCTTTATGTGTATAATTTATGTTGGAACTCAATATATTTTGATTCATATACTTTTAAAACATTTTGGTCTCTATACTTTCAACTTTAGTTCATTTTGTTCACTACTATGCTTGCAAAATATTATTTTGGTTCTCGTACATTTAAAAACAACCATTTTGATCCCTTCATTTTTATTTTTATCTCATCTATTTCGTGTCAAAATTTTAACATGATATTTCACTCACTAAATTTCTTGAAATATAGCTATAAATTTGTATTAATTGATATCAATTGCAGATAAAATTTGTAATGATAAGAACTAAAATAATCACTTTTTAAAATTACAAATACCAAAAACTGATGTCTTAAACGTAAGAGGAAACTAAAATAAATAAAAGTATAAAATACAAAAACCAAAATGAACTAAAACAAAAACTACAAGTAAAGTAACCAAAATAGTTTGGATGATCAAAATTACCTACACCAAGATAACTTCTCGTCAAAACGAGCATAATTCAATAGTAATTGACATATATGTCCGGTCCGATCCGATCTACTTAAAAAAAAATACAACTTCTAAGCTTTATAATTTTAGAATACAAAAACCAAACTCGTGAGCTAAAATGGTGTATAAGTGGGGGAGTATCAACCAATAATAATAAAGAAAGAAAGTAGAGTCAACTCTTGAGGGAAAAAATAAATATAAATATATCTTAAAGATAAGAGAAGACATGTTTGCATGTAAGCATAAATATTAGTGCTTCTCACGTACGTACATTTTCTTCCCTTTAATTTATAATCATATCCCAAATTATTCTAAAAAATAAATTGAACTCCATAAAATCCAAATTCCAAAGCCTCACTCTTTGAATTACGATAAGCTTTTTGTACTTGCAGAGCAAAACCCCATAGATCCAACTTCTTCATATTCTCAGTTAATTGAATATCTCCCAATTTTAAGCTCGAGGGGCCATGAAGTTCATGGAAATGCCTTCTTTTGCTCTCTTCCTTCTACTTCTTGATCTGGTCGTGGCGGCACCCACCACAGGACCGCCAGCGGCCTCCCTACTGTCGCACTCTTACTATCAGCGGACATGCCCGGATGCCGAGGGCATCATTCACCGGAAAGTGCAAGCTTGGATCAACAAGGATTCCACGTTAGCTCCGGCGCTCATTCGCTTGCATTTCCACGACTGCACTGTTAGAGTATGTATCCATAGCATCCTATACATGCGTATATATGCATAAAGTTCACTGTTGTACTTTCAGTTTCAGTTTAATCCTATTTTTAATTTTATATGTTCAATTTTGTTCAATTTAGTCTCTATAATTTAAAAGCTTTAATTTGAATCATATAGTTTAGAGTTATGTCTCTCACAAATAA